TTTTATTGATTTCTTACAGAGGAAGGGAGAGAGATAGAGAGCTAGAAACGTCAATGAGAGAGAAACATCGACCAGCTGCCTCTTGCACATCCCCCTACCGGGGATGTGTCCGCAACCAACATACATGCCCCTGACCGGAATCGAACCTGGGACCTTTCAGTCCGCAGACCGATGCTCTACTACTGAGCCAAACCGGTTTTGGCCCTTAGAAGTTTTGGTTCTTTTTTCCTCCCCTGCTGCAAATTCCCGTGGTTTTGGTTGGGTGGTGGAGAGTAGTCATCTGAGGGTGATGCTGCCCAAGGTGGTGGGACAGGTGGGTGGGAGTCTTGAAGGTGACCACATTCACATTCTGAAATGGGAAGTGGAAGGTGAATAAGTCACAGAGGCTTTTTTTTTTTTTTTTAAGTTTAATTTTTCTTTTTTTGCTGTCTGGTCATCCTCTTTGGTCTTCTGCTTTTTGATGTCAACATCCTCCTCCTCCTCCTCCTCCTCCTCCTCTTCAGCTGCCTCAGCCTCCCCATCTTCATCTCCATCCTCTTCCTCACCATCACCTTCCTTCTCCTCCCCTCCTTCTTTCTCTTCTTCATTTACCTCATTGTCAGTCTCCTGCTCCCCATTTTCCTCATTTGAGTTTCCATTCGCAGGTGTATCTCTTCCATTTTCAGCCTCCTCAACTTCCTTCTCCTTTAAGACCTTGGGGTGACCTCGGAACTGGTGTCCTCGGCCATGTCTGACATGTGGGGCACACCAGTGATTGATGCAGCAGATTTTCTTTTAAAAAATCGAGAGTTGGAGGATTCTGAAGAAGCTCCCAGAATGGCTACAGCGAGCAGAGAGGCAGCCCCAGGAACAATGCACAGATGGCTTTTCGGAGCAGCCAGTGGTGTATTCCTTTAAATGTTTCCCTGGCCCTGTCTTATTCCTGCAGTGAGAGCATAGCTGTCTGAGTATTTGAGGAAGCAGGCACCTCTTCCAGGTTTATAACTGACTGGTAAAGGAACACTTTCTAGCTGGATGGTTCCCTCTGGGTGCTGAGCAATGCTGGCATGATGCGGGCTAAATGAAGCTGTCTTCCTTCTTTTCTTGTATGGTTGTCCTTGGCTTTTTGTTTTATTGTGTTGCTGTAGTTTTTTACATGGATCTCAGAGTTGTACTAGAACTGTTTCTATTTCATGGATAGCTGTCTAATTGTTGATCTTTCTGTGGGGACAGAGACCGTGGTCTCCTAGGTCACTCTTTTGGTGACACTGACAGATAATTTATTCAATTCCTTTGTATTTGATGGGACTAATATACCTTGTACTTTCCTACTGGCTTTTCTGATCTTGAGCCCAGGGAGAGTTAATACTGATGGGTGGTTTCTTTCTAGCTCCACTCTCACTTAATTTACAGTTTTATTTAATTAATTTACTTAATTCCATACAAGAATTCTGAATTAGGCAGAGGTCTTAGTTTCAACTCCTTGCTTAGTGCTTGCCTGAGGCCTTGTTTTATCCCCTTTATGTGCATTTGAGTGCAATTTGTTAGCCATGATTGACTCTCCCACTCAGATTAGATGTCTCAGCTCATGATCGTTAACTCAAGTTGCATTTTCACCTCTTGTCCCGTGTTCATGTTTTCTGAATCTGTGAAGATCCAATAGCAAGCTAAGAGCATTTCTCAAGAACAGAATGGTTACTTGCGAAAGGGCATGGCTTGCTTTGAAAAACTGTAGAGGCCCCCTTTGGATTGCGCTACGAGTCTTTGCCTTTGACTCCAAGCAGCGTAGATGTGCCAAAGAGGGTTCAAGCTCCACAGATTGATTCAGGCTACTTGCAGACTCTACTGTGCAGCCTGGATCACCTGGACAGCCCTTTCTTTACGTCACTAAGTCCTAGAATGTTTTCAGTTTTTTAGTAATTAATGTGCTTGAACATCCAAATGTGAAATATGTTGCCTTTAAAACCCAAAGAGACATATGACAACTTGTTATTTTGGAGGGGATATTGATTTATTTTTTATTATTTTATTAAATAAACATGCCTCTAAAGGTGTGAACAAACACTCCACTCAATGTATCCTGCAAGTATCATTTTTATGAACCTAACATAACACTGCGCTAAGTATAGTACAGAGGATACTATACGCTAAGTAGAGTATCCATCAACACCCAGAAATAACACTCTTTTCATGGTATCTTGAAAGGATGCATCACTTTAATAAACATCTTTAGAGTTTTGATCGGGCAAAAACTTAGCTAAGTGCTTTAAGGCAATTTTGTAAAGGCGTTGCACAAGTACTGTCACTCTCCTTCTGGAGGGGATATGTAAATGCCCTAGCTGTCCTTCAGAATCACCTGGAGGGATTGTTTAAGCACAGATTTCTGAGCTCCACCCCCATAATTTCTGATTCAGTTGGTGTAGGGTGGGGCCCAAGAATTTGCATTTCTAACAACTTTCCAGATGCTGCTGCTAGTTTGGGGACCACTTAAAGAACCAGCACCTTGCCGAAACCGGTTTGGCTCAGTGGTAGAGCGTCGGTTTGTGGACTGAAAGGTCCCAGGTTTGATTCCAGTCAGGGGCATGTACGTTGGTTGCGGGCACATCCCCGGTGGGGGGTGTGCAAGAGGCAGTTGGTTGATGTTTCTCTCTCATCAACATTTCTAACTCTCTATCTCTCTCCCTTCCTCTCTGTAAAAAATCAATAAAATATATATAAGAAAAAAAAAAAAAAAAAAAAAAAAGAACCAGCACCTTGACCACTCTTAGTAAGGCATCTCAGGCACCAGATTGTCCTGCTCTCCTCATAGTGTTTGTGTGATATCGTCTATGGAATGAACCAGCATGATATCCTGCGAAACGGTGAGATGTTTAAGTTTGCTGAAGCATAAAATGGTAGAGTTATGTAGGTCTGAAGCAAAATGGTAAAGGTTTTTTTTCTTTTCTTTTTTTTTCTCTCCTATTTTTTTCTGATAGGAGAAAAAGCAAATTGATTCTGATTTTTCTTGATTATTTATTAAATGGAAGAAAAGATATCCACCATGTTAATACCATATACCAAAGACCAAGGATTACTTTGATTTGCTCTAGATCTCACATTTGGAATATCAGCTAAAACTGGAGTCACCACCTGACTAAATTAATGATAATTTCCTGCCATTCTTTATGACCCATCTACATTGGCAAGATGGGTAAGTTAAATCAAGAATATAATAGGAATGAGTTGGAGGATGGGTGAAAAAGGTGAAAGGATGTTGAGCCTCTTTTCATGTGTCTGTTGACCATCTGTACTCCTTGGGGTCATGTCCTCTGCCCATTTTAAAATCCGATTGTTGTTATTGTTTTTTTTTTAATTTAAATTTTTGAATAAATCATTATTGTTCAGATTATTACAGCTGTTCCTCTTTTTCCCCTCATAGCTCCCTTCCACCCGGTTCCCACCCCACCCCATGCCCTTAACCCCACCCCCCAATGTCCTCATCTATAGGTATAAGATTTTTGTCCAATCTCTTCCTGAACCCTCCACACCCTCTCCCCGCCCCCCAGAATTGTCAGTCTACTCCCTTTCTATGCCCCTGATTCCATTATATTCAACACTTTATTCTGTTCGTCAGATTTTTTATTCACTTGATTTTTAGATTTGCTTGGGATCGATATGTATTTGTTGTCACTTTTTTATTCATAATTTTTATCTTTACCTTTTTCTTCCTCTTCTTAGAGAATACCCTTCAGCATTTCATGTAATCCTGGTTTGGTGGTGATGAACTCCTTTAGCTTTTTCTTGACTGTGAAGCTCTTTATCTGGCTTTCAATTCTGAATGATAACTTTGCTGTGAGAAGATGGCAATCTCTGATCTAGGAAGTGGAGGAGTCCTAACAGATACTGCATCTTTTGGCATTTTGATCTTGGACTTCCCAATCAATAGAAATACATAAAATAAATGTAGGTTATTTAAGCCAGCCTGCCATGGCAACCCAAATGACAAAGACAAAGGGGTTGGGATAAATTGTATTATTGTTCTCAAGTGTTTCTTTCTTTTTAAATATATTTTATTGATTTTTTTACAGAGAGGAAGGGAAAGGGATAGAGAGTTAGAAACATTGATGAGAGAGAAACATCCATCAGCTGCCTCCTACACAATCCCCCACTGGGGATGTGCCTGCAACTAAGTAAGGTACATGCCCTTGACCGGAATCAAACCTGAGACCCTTCAGTCTGCAGGCTGATGCTCTATCTACTGAGCCAAACCAGTCAGGGCTCAAGTGTTTATTTCTTTCTGTGAGAAATTTTGCAGCCCTTGACATTATTCAGGGAGAGAAGGGCTTCTTAGGGAGGAAGTGGCAATAAGAATAGAAGATTGGTTATATCTAGAGGATTGATCAAATAAGGAAGAAATTCAAGATAATGAAAGCAGATTTCTTACTGTCACAGAAGGGAGTTGCAGAAAGGGATAAAACTGGAATTAACTCTTTGGTATTGGATTAAAATTAGAGATATTAGTGTGAACTCATATATTCAATATATTTAGATATAGAAATAAATATACAGGAGTGTGTGTGTGTGTGTGTGTGTGTGTGTGTGTGTGTGTGCGCTATAGGGTAGGGATGAGTTAAGTGGGAGGGATTTGAAGGAGTATTATTTGGGGAAGCTGAATTAGGTGTGAGCTGGGAGCTGGCTTATGGAAAGATTTCACACAGAAGATTTAATATCTGGAGAGCATTTCTCTTGGCCTTTGGAAAAAAAACACATTTAGCACCAAGTTTACCTTCTAAATTGTGATTTCATTAAATTATCCTGTTAAAAAATAGTTGTATGGCCGAAACTGGTTTGGCTCAGTGGATAGAGCTTTGGTCTGTGGACGGAAAGGTCCCAGGTTTGATTCTGGTCAAGGGGATGTACGCTGGTTGCGGGCACATTCCCAGTAGCGGGTGTGCAAGAGGCAGCTGGTCAATGTTTCTCATCGATGTTTCTAATTCCTCTCCCTTCCTCTCTGTAAAAAAGCAATAAAATATATTTTAAAAAATAGTTGTATATACCTATATAGTCTTTTGCTGTGCTGTTGTGAGTATTCAAGTGATAGCAAAGGATGGACTAGAGAAGGGTGGCCTACTCCTTTAACACCTAAAAGAGAGAGCTGCTTTCAGAAGTTGCTGGATGTGACTATGGCAAAATAAATGGAGATTCATGATGGAGTTAGTTAAGAACAGGGAAAAGCAGATAGCACTGAGGAGAAGGTTCAGAAGGCATACCATCTACAGTTTCACTTCCCTAATACATTAGAAGATGCTGACTGTTGAAAGTGGGAAGTTGACATAAAATTTTAATAAATGATCCTCTTAGAATGTAGTCCCCAAAAGTTGCCTAATAAGCCACAAAAGGCGAAAAAAAAAATGTAGCCTAAGTGAGTATATGCAAACTCTATCAATAATATTTTTGCATGTAGATGCACACAAATACTTGAATTTTATTCTTGCTGGTGAGTTCAGATTTCACAGTTTTCACGAAAGATTTCTCTAATTGTTTAGTTCCTCTTTTCTTGTCCTTCCTATTTCTTTCTTCTACTTTTTGAGATCCTACTTTTATTACTGTTGCTAGAGTATGTTTAAAGACTATAATTTCCACTGTGCTGGTCCTGGAGAATGAGCCTCTGTCTTGAGGTTTTAAGTTCTCATAAGATTCCTCTCAGGGAAATTTGCATATCTGTAGCCTCTGTTCTCATCTAGTTGCATGATAGGAAGTATGACAAGTTACCATCATGTTTGATTTACATTTTAAGATGTTTTAAGGAAGAGATACCAAGGATTTTCTGCAGAGAGCAGACAGTCTTTCTCAATATGACTTCAGAGATCACTTATGCTGAAGTGAAGTTCAAAAATGAATCTACATCCTTAGGCACCAACTCAGATCCTCCTGCAGGTAAGAAACATTTTCTGGCAGTCAGAATTAATGATGGGTGAAGAATAAAGAGAGAATACTATAAATAAAGTATAGGTAATAATAGATGCTGGTTTTCTGATTGACCAGTTTGGAAATATAGACTTCTCAGAGGATTATGTTGCCTGAAGATAAGTATTAAGGACTGCACATTTGTACTATACCAAAACTGAGATGTGAGAGGTCCACTATAATCCTGAGCTAAGAAGAGTGGTAATTAGGGGAGAAAGTTGTCCTCTTGTAAGGCTCAGTAAGACTGCAGTCAGGAATGACAAAGCCCACTAAATTACCCCTAGCCCTGATAGAGTGATGAACTTTGTGTCTTGACCAGTTAGAGGAGAGGAGTTTGGGTGAAGAGTGCTTTTGGTGTATTAACAAAACTTTGTTACTACCGGACTAAAGTGGAAAGAAAGATCATTGCAGATAAAAGTCTAGAAAATTGTATAAAGAAAGTCCCTTATATCTCAAGGGAAATTGCTCTGTAATGAGAAAATCCATTGCATTCTGAATCTCCAAGATGGATTCAACCAAGTTTTGAAGTAGATAAAATGTAACTTGAGTAGCACCTATGATATCTCAGATATAGAGCAAAAGAGAAGAAAAACACATGTATAGCCTAAGAAGCTGTGAGAGGGCAGTTATGATTGCTTATGTATTCTAAAACTCTTCTGTGGAAAGATGGAGAATACTCAGGAAACTGTTTAAACTCTTAAAATGTATGAAACTTCTTTATTATAAGTTAAAATGTTCATTGTAGAAAAAAATTAGAGATACATAAAAATTTGTTCTTACCACCTATTAATAACTATAATTTACATTTTTAGTGTATATCCTCCCAGATATATATCAATCAATATGGTTTTAGATATATAAATGTATATATGTTTTTTTTCTTCTAAAAATGAGACAACAATCTACTTGGCAATATATAATTACTTGGGGAAAATAATTTTTAACCATGAAATAGTGACTAAAAAGGACTGATCTTATGAATGTGATAAGGGATGAGTATAAAGATGTATCTGGCATGGAATTATTTAAAGTAGTTAAAATTGGAGCAAAAATGAAAGACTCATAGATATAGAGAATAGACTGGCAGTTGTCAGAGGGGAGTAAAGGCCTGGGTGAAATAAATGATGAGATTAAGCAAAAACAAAACAAAACAAATAAACCCCATAGATATAAAAACAATATGGTGGGGTGGAGGCAGGTAGAAGAGAGTAAAGAGATGATAAATGGCCCAAACCGGTTTGGCTCAGTGGATAGAGCATTGGCCTGTGGACTGAAAGGTTCCAGGTTCGATTCTGGTCAGGGGCATGTACCTTGGTTGCAGGCACATCCCCAGTGGGGAGTGTGTAGAAGGCAGCTGGTCGATGATTCTCTCTCATCGATGTTTCTAACTCTCTACCTCTCCCTCCCTTCATTTCTGTAAAAAATCAATAAAATATATATTAAAAAAAAAAGAGGTGATAAATGGTGATGAAAAGAGACTAGAGGAGAGATCAACCAAAGGACTTATCTGCATGCATACAGGCCTAATCAGTGGACACAGACAACAGGGGGATGAGGGCATGAGTGGGTGGGATAGGAGGGTAATAGGATAAGGACACAAAAGGACATATATGTAACAAAGTTAATCAATCAATAAATAAATAAATAAAAGAAAAGAGACTAGACTTTGGGTGGTGAACACACAATATAATACAGAGATGATGTATTATAAAACTTCTTTCTTTCTCTCTTTCTTTCTTTCTTTCTCTCTCTCTCTCTCTCTCTCTCTCTCTCTTTCTTTCTTTCTTTCTTTCTTTCTTTCTTTCTTTCTTTCTTTCTTTCTTTCTTTCTTTCTTTCTTTCTTTCTTTCTTTCTGATATGGTATCACATAATTGTCCTCATCTCCCCATTCCCATCCCAAACTCCTCCCTAGATATGCCCCACCCCCCTGTTGTCCATGGCTACTGGCTAGGCCCATATGTCCTTTGGTTGATCTCTTCCCCTCACCCCCACCCTCCCCTCCTTTCCCTCTGAGGTTTGAGAGTCTGATCCCTGCTTCTCTTTCTCTGGGTCTGTTTTTGTTCATCAGTTTATGTCGTTCATTATTTCCTCTAGATGTGTGAGATCATATGATTTAAGAAATACCCTTGTAAGAACCTATAGTGAGATAAGCCATTGCTGAGAGGCAAATGAATCAGTCTGTTTGAGTTCCTTTCTGGGCCAACAGTTCTTTTGAGACCCAATTTCAATGTCAAATAGTTCCTTATGTGTACATGCCAACCATGCTATTTCAGATCTGGTTGGTGGACAAATGGTGATGATGCAGGTTTGACCGTCTCTGGTTTGGTCCTGGGCATCCTTCAGTGACACGCAGCTGTTGTCTGCTGGTATGGCGAGGCGTCACCAGCATCTTCCATCTCTGAATTGTATCTCTTCAGTCGTCATGGCTGGAGCACTTCTGTCTATTCCTCTCTGTTATAGGATTCCAGATGGTCTCGAAGTTGTTTTCTGAAAATATACAAACATATTCTCAACCAAAAGTTAATAAAAGGATATTTTCTATAAACCTGACTTGGGATCCTTTTTCATTCCCTTCCCCCCCCACCCCCAAATGATTTTCCTTTGGCTTGTTTTGACACCATGTGTGTATTTTCATGGGTATCTTGCTGTTAGGTTTCAAATGAAGGTTAATTTTCTAAAGTACAAATTTTTTAGATGTAAATTATTCACAGGATATTTTTCCTAACATGATATTCTTCCACTGTCACCCCCTTTTTAAAAATTTAAATAATAGGAGACTTTTGGAAATTTTATAATGTAGTCTTGATATCTTTTACAATTTAATTATTTGCGCTAAACTATGACTGCTTTAGGTTCATAACATGTTATGCAATTTTACCATGAGATGCTCTGCCAATAAAAATTTTTGTTAAGACTTTAGGAACAGCTTTTTGTACAGTACAATCAGTTTTTCTAGAATATTCATTTATTTCCATTAGCCACATTAATTTCCTCTGAGAAATTGGCTACTATTCAACTGTCAAACTCAAGACTCTAGCAACAATCTTATTTACCATGTGTGTATTAGTGGAATTGATTATTTTCCTTCTTGAGAAGGGCCTGAGCATTCTTGCTACTAGGCTAAATTTAGATATTAAAAACCCTCTTGCCTACACCATGGGTACAAGACCTCTCAAATCAGTCTTGTTGCAGTGAGAGGACAGCTGTTGTCAGCCAAGTCTCTGTCTATTATCTGGGTCCCATGAGCTGTGCATGGGAAGCGAAGCAGCCATGGGGGTAGGAAACCTCCCTCAAAATGGGAGAAGGTTCAGGCACCTGCCATGTTGTGGGGGTGGGGGGCGGGTGTGATAAGGGTCTGTGCCCCACCTCTGTTGACCCCAAGTTTTCTCCTGATAGCCTCTCTGTGACTGTGCCTGTCTTAGGTTGTTCCTCCCCTGAGGAATCTTTTTTTTTTTTTTAATATTTTTATTGATTTTGTACAGAGAGGAAGGGAGAGAGATAGAGAGCTAGAAACATCGATGAGAGAGAGTCTTCGACCAGCTGCCTTTTGCACACCCCCCACTGGGGATATGCCCGCAACCAAGGTACATGCCCTTGACCGGAATCGATCCCGGGACCTTTCAGTCCCCAAGCCGACGCTCTATCCATTGAGCCAAACTGGTCTCGGCCCCTGAGGAATCTTACCCATCTCTGGCTAACCAGCCATCCTCCGGGGCCAAGCAGGGTGATGTGAGGTTTAGTTCTGTCTCCTTGGTAGCCTATGCTCCCATGGGCTCCACACCCAACACCTGCCTTGGGAACCCCTCACCTGCTGGCGAGGCCCGGGCGGTGATCTCCTATTTTTGGGAACCCATGTTCTTCTCCAGAGAGGGCCCAGCTCACCCCACCGGGCGGGAGAGAGATCCTTGGTACCAGCTACCATGGTGCTTCAGCCTCGGCATGAACTGAAAGGTCAGGTAACAGTTGCGGGCACCTAGACCATGAGAAGAGGGTCGTTTTTGGCCAAATGGGCAAGACTGGCCAATATAGAATGCTCAGGTGCCTTCCCAGGGGCTCCTCTGCACAATGGTAGGGATAAAGTCCTTTCATGTCATTTTTAAATTGGTGCCAGACATAGAATTGTATCCTTGAAACCTATATAATTTTATTAACCAATGTAATCTCAAAAGATTCAATAAAAATGGAAATAGTCTGGAAGATTACTTAAATATACAATAATGAAATACTATGCAACCACAATATTGAGTGTAGTATTGATAGAAGAAAATATGGAATAAAATATCTTATTAAATAGCATATAATAAAAATAATAGGTCAAAAGTAGTATATATGGTATATCAATCATCTGGGAAAATGTGCATGTATATATAAACACTCTAAAATTTTCCAGAAGAGTATATATCAAAACATTTACATTAGTTGTCCTCAATAGTAGGGATTTATGCTTTTAACGTATTTTCCAAAGTTTATGCAATTAATATATTTCCTTTCCATTTTTATATTATTTCCAATGTCATATTGTTAGTAATAGTATGTCATCCAAGAAAAGAAAGAAGAGGAGGTGAAAGAGTAAGTAATGATCAAAATTTACTTCTGATAAAACTAATTTAATTTCTTCTTTAGCTCCCAAAGAGAAGACCAGCCTTCACAAAAGTAACCCTGGTTTTCCCAAGGCACTCTTACTCTCATTGCTGATACTTCTGCTATTATTGGCAATATCGTTTTTTATCGCTTTTATCAGTAAGTATCCAAATGAAACTATAATATAATGAATGTCTGCCTTATACAAACAGAGGGTCTCCATTAGATTTTTGTATTTAACAAAGGATTTATCCAGAAATCTGGTAAAATGTGTTCTCTGAGAGATGGTATAATTAGTGGGAATCCATTACAAATCTGCTTTTTAATTTTAATTGAGTTACTTTTCTATAAAAATAATGGAATCCACTCTATAGACTCTATAGAAATTTAAGAGTATATGTGTGTCCATGTGTTTGCCTTGTAGGGTGAAATAAGGCACCATCTCCACACTAGACAGTTGTATGAGGACAAATTTAGATTTCCTTAGTGTTCCCAAGGCCAGGACTTTTTGAGTGCACACGTACATATTTTGAGATGAGCAGGTAAATAAGGATATGGGAAGAAATATCCAGGAAGAGTTTCCCATTAAATTTTTACTTTAATTATTTCTGTCCTAAGTGCCCGGCTAGCTCAGTCGGTAGAGCATGAGACTCTTAATTATTTCTGTCCTGCCCAAGACATGAGATCTAAAAGGCAACTTGGCAAATAGGTAGATTTCTGCATATCTTAGGCTTTAAGAATTTATCAAATTGATAAGAGGAATAAAAACCAGTATATATCTGGGTAGATATTTTATTCATTCATTTGGTCATTCAATAAGCAATGATGGCCATCTGCTTTATGTCAGACAGTGTGCCAAAGTCCAAGCCATAGTCATTGAAGTTCAGAAAGTGATAGTAACTGGTCACATGAACCAGTGGTTACAATATTGTATTGTAGTGTTGTACAGATAAAAGCAATGGAGGCTGAGATAGACTTCCTGAAGGAGGTGGCATAGAGATGTGAGAGAACATGGGAAAATGTGAGGAAACCCAAGAATAAAAGATTGGAATATATGGTGCTAAGTGAACTGTGAGAAATGAAATTGTAGGTTGGAAAAAGAAGTGGGGCTCAGATCATGAAGAGTGTTGTGTACAATCCTAAAGAGGGTGAATTTCCCCCCTAAAAATTATTGTATCAATTACCTTTGTCTGCTTAATAAAACCAATCTAAAACTTAGTGGATGAAAACAACAGCTCTTTATTTAGCTCATGATTTTGTGATTTGGCAGTCTGGACTGGGCTTATTGTTCCTGACTGAAAGTGGGGAGAGAACTGGGGTCAAGTATTGCAGGAGGTCAAAGAGAAAGAAAACTAAGAAGGAACCCTAGGATATTACTGGTAACCATTGCAAGGGTGGCATCCATCTTGTAGTGGCCATCTTGTGACAATGTGAGGGTGACCATCTTGTAGCTGCCATCTTGTAATGATGTGAGGATATTGTTCAAGGACGCAAGGACCACCTAAGCTTTTATTAGTATAGGTTGAATATGGGTAATAGGAAATCTTTCCCATAGTTGGGATCTTTATACTCAAGTAACTGGACATTGGTAGATTTTGTTTCTATAAAGAATTCAAGAAAGTAACAATAATTAGCAAATTCATAACACTATCAGGAAAATGAATGATTTAATTCTCTGTTTCAGTTTTTTTTCAAAAGTATTCTCAGCTTCTTAAAGAAAAAAATGCTATAAAAGAAGTTACTCACCCAGCATTGGACTGTATAAAAGAAAATGGGACCATGAAAGGTAAAAATTAATTTGTCTATAATTTAGTTGTTGATGTTATTGTATAAATATTCCCAATCAATATTTCTGAAGATTCACAAATATATCACACCAAGAGGTTAAGTCTCATGATCATTTCAAACTTTAAGTACATAAGTATATAGGATATAAAATTCACATATGAATATCTTTAATATATATGTGCAAGAAAATAGCATTTAAAAAAAGTTTTTATTGATTTCAGAGAGGAAAGGAGAGGGAGATAAAAACATCAATGATTATAGAGAATTATACATTGGCTGCCTCCTGCATGCCCCAATACTGGGGATCAAGCCTTCAACACCAGGCATGTGCCCTGACTGGGAATTGAACTGTGACCTCTAGTTCATGGGTCTATACTCAACCACTGAGCTACATTGGCCACACAAGAAAATAGTCTTAAATTTTTTTTTTTTAAATTTTCAAGTACAATTTTAAAAAAAAATTTTCAACTAGTTTCCGGTGTACAACAAAGTGGTAAGACAATCATGTACTTTACAGAGTGATCTCCTCCCCCTCTCCCCCCGATATTTCAACTACCCACCTGGCCTCATATTTCTACCAATAGCCCCTTCAAGGCAATGTACACGTTTTCTAGAATGCACCTCAAAACTCTTCTAGCCTTTACCCAACACCTTGTTTTGAAATAAGATGTATCCTAAGGTAGTAGAAGAACCTACGAGAGGTTTCTTTTCTTTTTTTTGAGGGGGGTCTGGAAATACTGGAAAGTTTTTCTACATAAATGAATGACAATTGCTTCTTCAGTTTATACCATTTCAGTTTACAAAAGGTTCCATAAAAACACTTTATTTTTTGAATAGTGGGGAAAACCTGTATTACAAACTGGGTGGTTTAAACAGCAGACATTAATTTTTTCGAGTTCTATAGCTGGGAGTCTAAGGTCACTAGCAGTGTTGGTTTCTGTTGAGGCCTCTTTCTCTGGTTTACAGATGGCCACCTTCTCTGTGCATGAAGAGATAGAACTTCATAGAGAGAGAGATACAGAGACAGAGAAACAAATATATATATGCCTGGTGTCTCTTCTTATAAAAACACTAGTTCTATTGGATTAGGATTTCACCATTTCACCCTATATTGTCTTAACTATCTTTTTTAAAAAAATATATATATTATTGATTTTTTTACAGAGAGGAAGAAAGCAAGTTAGAGAGTTAGAAACATTGATCAGCTGCCTCTTGCACACCCCCTACTGGTGATGTGCCCACAACCAAGGTACATGTCCTTGACCGGAATCGAACCTGGAACCTTTCAGTCTGCAGGCCGATACTCTATCCACTGAGCCAAACCAGTTTCGGCTTTAATTATCTTCCTAAAGTCCTGACTACATTGGAGATTAGGGCTTCAACATATGAATTTTGGGGGCACATAATTTAGTCCATAACATTCTACTCCAAATTCATATCCTTCTTGCATAAGAAATACATTCACTCTGTCCCAACAAGCCCCAACGTTTTAACTCATCCAATATCAATTCAAAGTCCAAAGTCTCATTTGAGTGTTATCTAAACCAGATATAGGTGAGTAGGATTCATCCTGAGACAAAATTCCTCTCCAATTGTGAACCTATAAAGCCAGATGAGTTATGTGCTTCCAAAATTCAGTGGGACAGCCATAGATTAGACATTCCCTTTCCAAAATGGAGAAATCAGAAAGAAAAGAAGATAAATGTCTTTCAAACAAGTTCAAAACCTATCAAGAAAAAGGCCATTGTATCTTTTTAAAATTTTACTTCTTATTGCAGTTTACATTAAATATTATTTTGTATTAGTTTTATGAGTACAGCATAGTGGTTAGGCAATCATATACTTTACAAAATGTTCCCCCTGATATTTCAAGTACCTACCTGGCACCATACATAGTTATTACAATATTGTTGACTATATTGCCTATGCTGTACTTTACATCCACGGGACTATTTTGCAACTTCCCATTTGTATTTCTTAATCCCTTTACCTGTTTCACGGCCCCCAAGCCCCTTCTCTGGCATTTGTCAAGTTTTGTTTAGAGTCCACACATGTAAATGATATTTTATATGCACCACTATGTTCATTATAGCATTATTTACAATAGCCAAGATGTAAAAGCAATCCATATGCCCTTCAATAGACAAGTGGATAAAAAGTTGTGGCTCATGTATAGAATAGGTTGGTATACTTGGCCATAAAAAAAAAAAATGAAATTTTACCATTTTCAACAGCACGGATGGACTTAGAGATTGTTATGCTAAGTGAAATAAGTCACACAGAGAACGACAAATATCATTGTATCTTAAGGTTTGAGAATAATCTTCTTTGGCTTGATGCTTGGGCCAACTTGAATGACAATGTCAGCCGCATGGCCCCACATGGTGGCTCTGTCCTGTGGGTCTGTGGGGATGCCATGCCCCTGAGGCACCGGGCAGTTATATTCTGGCCACTGAGTCAGGGAAGGTTGCCCCACTTTCCGAGACCAAGGAGGAAATTGCCTTGCTCCCTTGCCCTGTGGGTTGGAGTGGCAATCCTGATGGTCTCTGAATCACCCTTGGTCATCCTTCCCTTTTCTTGAAATATAACACATGCTTAATTAAAGTCAGTAGCTCTATTGTCTCATGCTGTAGAATAACAGAAGTCTAATAGCTTTTTTTTTGTTTTGTTTTTTGTTTTTTGTACAGAGAGGAAGGGAGAGAGATAGAGAATTAGAAACATCGATGAGAGAGAGTCATCGATCAGCTGTCTCTTGCACACCCTCTACTGGGGATATGCCCGCAACCAAGGTACATGCCCTTGACCGGAATCGAACCCAGGACCCTTCAGTCCCCAAGCCGACGCTCTATCCATTGAGCCAAACCGGTTTCAGCAGAAGTCTAATAGCTTTATTCATTCTGTCCCATTTTCTCAGTCCCCATTAGTCCCAGCTGACTATATATATATATATTTTTTTTTTTTTTCTTTTTTTTTCTTTTTCTTTCTGGTTTTAGTGCATTCTTTTATTTTTTAAACCCTTTATTGTTTAAAGTAGGGGTGTCGAACTCAATCAGAGAAGGGGCCAAAATCTAAAATCCAGCCTAAATCGCGGGCCGAATGGTTTACTGAACAGTCATAAACTGTCATTGTGATGGAAACGCAGCGGAGTGCAGTGATGACAGCGCGGTGCAGGCCACATTGCAAGGCCTGGCGGGACGGATTTGGCCCAAGGGCCTTGTGTTTGACACATGTGGTTTAAAGTATTATATATGTCTTATTTTCCCTCCATTGACCTTTCCCCCGCCATTCCCACCTCCCAGCACATGCCCTCACCCCCTTCTGTCTGTGTCCATTGGTTATGCTTATATGCATGCATATAAGTCCTTTGGTTGATCTCTTAACTCCTCGGGAGCCAGGCTGCTCTGAGCATGTAGGTCCACTTGTAGGCCCAGAGTGTCCCGGAACGCACCCGGCCACTCCAGGCCTATGCTCATAGGTGCTGAGCAGCCAGTGGCGGGGCGGGAACATTCCTGGGACCCAGGTGCAAGGGGGCAAGCAGTCCTCCACAGGGCCCCCACAGAGAGCAGACATCAGGGCTTGCAGTGGTATCAAGCAGGCATGTCCACAGAGAGCAGAGAACCACAGGGAGCAGAGAACCACAGGGAGCAGACCTACCTAAGCCATCAGTAGGTCATCCCCTGAGGGCTCACAGATTAGAGAGGGTGCAGGTCGGGCTCATGGACCCCCCCACCCTCCATGCACGAATTTCATGCAATTATGGGAGCTAGAGGTCCAAGGTACTAGAAGAATTCGTTTGTGGTGAGACTTCTCTTCCTCATTTGAGCAAAGGCACTGATTTTTGCTGTCTCTTTCTCTTCTTATAAGACCCAGGTCCTATTGGATTAATGTCCTACCCTTAGTTTCTTCCTTAAAGACTCTAGCTCCATAATCATATTAAGAATTATAGCTTTAGCCAAAGCCGGTTTGGCTCAGTGGTAGAGCGTCCGTCTGCGGACTGAAAGAATTATAGCTTTAACATATGAATTTTGAAGGAACACCATTAAGTCAATAGCAAGCATCTACCCCAATATATAATTTATTTGAAATTTTTGTGCATGTGATATTTGTCTCTTCTGCCCTTGGGTTTGGTTCCAGGGCAGCCATCTTGTATGTTGGAGTGATGATCAATTTGCATATTATTCTTTTATTAGATAGGATAGAGGTCTGGTGAATGGGTGGAGGCCAGTTGGTTTGCCTTGAAGGGTGTCCTGAATCAGGATGGGGGTTCCCTTGGGGCATGAGGTGGCCTGGGCGAGGAGCCTGTGGTGATTTGCTGACTGGCCATGCCCCACAGCAACCCAAGTGGAGGCCCTGGTATCTGATATTTATTTATCCTCTATAATTGAAACTTTGTAGCCTGGAGTGGAGGCCTGGGCTGGACAGGGCAGGCAGAAAGCTTGGCTTCCTCCATTGCTGGGAAACCCAAGCCTCCCTCCTGCTCTTCGTGGCCACAGCCATCTTGGTTGGATTTATTTGCATATTTGATCCTGATTGGTTGGTGGGTGTGGCTGGTGGGCATGATCTGTGGATGTAATGGAGTGATGGTCTATTTGCATATTACTTTTTTATTAGGTAGGATATTTTTAATCTTTATTGTTGAAAGTATTTCACATATCCCTTTCCACCCCTATTGACCTCTTTTAGCCCATCCCTGCTGCCCACCTAAGGCCTTTACTACATTATTGTCTGGGTTTATGGGTTATGCCTATTAGCATATATATATATATATATATATATATATATATATATATATATATATATACAAAACTTTTGGGTTAATCTCTTCCCACCCACCCACCCTGCCTTCCATCTTACAATCTGTTCTATGCTTCTATGTTTCTTGAGCTATTTTGTTCATCAGTTAATTTTGTTCCTTAGATTCTACATATGAGTGAGATCATGTGACACTTGTCTTTCTCTGACAGGCTTATCTCACTTAGCATAATACTCCCCAGGTCC